GCAAGTGTAAAAGCATAAACGTTCTTCCCCAGTTTGTTTTTGTTCTTGGTGTTGTGTTACAGCAGTAGAAACCTGTGACAGAGATTGGTAACAGAAGACATGGGTGTAGCAAAGCTGAGCATGTGTTCTGGGGAGGATGGTGGGGAGACTTTGGACCTGTGTGCTGGAAAGGCCATTGAGTGTGCAGATTAGAGCAGTGTGGACAATGGAGGCCTGACTTGTAAAGGTTACGAGTCCCCTGAAAATGTATCCAGCCCATGACGTATTTTGAATTCAGCATTTGTGGGTCTGAAGAATTGAGTGTATTAGCAGGAATCCAGCACCGCGAAGTGAACCCTTGCTTTGCTGGGAATTGATACTGGTTGGCTGGCAGTAAAGAGTCAGCTGTGTTTAATTAGAAGCCAGCATCATAGAGGCGGAATTTTCTAGAAAGTGTTTCCTCGGTGGCAGCACACAGAAACTGGTCGTGATGGTATCAGGGCTGTACTTGGTAATAATGACTCACAGGGGTTGTGGAGAGCAGCTGAAGCACGGCACTCTGACAGGCCATTGGTGAAGATGTATCCTCGTTTGCAGTAGAAGCCCAGGACTGAGGTTTGATACCTTGTGGCAGGGCCAATGTCCCTGAAGACAGTTGATACAGGTACAGGCATTTGCAGCAGGACTTTGTAGAGGTTAATACCATTTGATGACAGCCAAGGGCAGCAGCATCGGTTGGGTGGAGCCGGCCTAAGCCTCCCAGACAAGCTATGTGTGCTGTGAAGGAGAGACGTGTGTGTGCCAAGTCCCGGGGAACCCACAGATCATGAGGGAAACCCAGACATTGGACTGAAGATATTTACCCTGTTAGACTGTGCTTTGTTTTGATTTGATTGTGACAATATCCCATTCTTCTTGTGAAGAATCCCATTACTTCTTGTGAAGTAAGGGAGTGTTTAACGTGGGGTTTTGATTTTATAGGAGTCTTCAAGTGAGTGACTTCGATTTTAGAGTCTGGAAATTTGAGAAGACTATGTATTTTAGAGAGAGTTTGGCTGCTTTAGAAGGACCTTTGAATGTTGAGAGACTTTTCATGTCTTAGAGAGACTGCGCTTTTAAAGATATGCTATGTTTTTGTACTGTGATGTGAAGATTAACATGACATCTTGGGGATAAACACGGAAGGAAAGGTTAATGGTACTGCTGTATTGGTGTATTGTAGACAAAGACCAATTGTCCTGTTTTGTTGTTGTTCATTTGTTTGTTTGCCAACTTTGATACAAGCTATAGTTATCCGAGGAAAGGGAACCACAATTGATTGACTTTTGACAAGCCTGTGGAGTATTTTTCTCAATTAGTTATTGACGTGGAATGGCCCAATCCATTGTGGGTGCTGCCATCGCTGGGCAGATGGTCGGAGTGTGTAAGAAATGAGCCTGAGCAAGCCATAAGGAGCAGGAGAGAAAGCAGCTCCTCTAAGCCTCTGCTTCAAGTCCTGCCTCCAGGGTTCTGCTTGAGTTTCTGCACTGACCTGCTCTGATGATGGCCTGTGGTGACATCAACTGCCCATGTGGTCATGGTGTTCGGTGACAGTCATAGAAACCCTGACCTAAGACAACTACCTTATTTGATTCTATTTTTACCTGATAGCCTCTGGGGGAGGGAGAGCATATTTCCTTTAAGGGTGTACCATACCATGAATATATGACAGCCACAATTTGGACTCAGTGGATTATAAAATAACAAAAGGGGGCTAGCAAACTGTCCTGGTAGGTAAAGATGCTTACTGCCATATCTGAGAACCTCAGTTTGATCACTTGGATAAACATGACAGAAGGCGGGAAGACCTCAGCTGACTTCCATACATTCACACACACCCCATAGCATGGATACAACCCCATAAAATGAATTAAGCAATGTATTAAAAAAAAATTACAGCATGTAATGTTGGGAAAAGAAAACGGGGTGATGCATGGGGTGAGGGGTAGATCAGGAGTGGGGTGAATATGCTCAAAATATATTATATGCATGAAATTCTCAAAGAATTTTAAAACTCTTCAAAGAATGTTGTTCTTATCAAAACAGTATTTGGGGTTTCAGTCCTGGCAAGTCCTCAGCAATTACCTCAGCCTTAGGATCCATGTAAAGGAACCTCCCTTCTACACTCACACAGTGGCCAGAGCCCCTTCCTCCTGCTGAGTATCTGGGTGCTTTTCCTGGGCTGGGTAGTCATTGTAACCTGGAGTTCCTGCATTGACTTTGCTTTGTGGTTCTAGGCAGGGACTGACAGGCATGTGTGTCCGTGGTGTTATGGCTTTGCACAGCCAGCCTGCAAGACAGATGTTTTGATAATTAGCCTTATTTGTGTATCAGGCACAGTGACATTTGAGTGATAAACCCAGTATAAGTTCATTATTCACTTGGGTAAAACTAATAGTTCACGGCCTCTTCATTCTAGAACCTTGGCCCTGTTATCTTCATTTCTACTAGCATAGAACGGGATATCTGTGTTGTTGGGCTTCTTTAGCCTGATCGCAAGAGTGTCTGCAGTCCTTTGCTCCTGTGGACTGTGCTGGAAAATTGACATGAGAGGCACTGTTCCAGTGTCCTTGAGTCCAAAGGGACTGTCCAGGCTGAAGCCATAACCACTCTCCGTGCTACACCGCTACTTCAGGAGTCAACTTTTCTTTGCTCTATTTCATTTTTCTATAAAGTCACTACTCTGGTGACTTTTATGTCAATGATGACATTTTATTTGTAAAATGACGAAAGAAGCAGTCTAGCAGGAGGAAAGGTTTCTTTCAGCTCACAGTTTCGGGGGTTTAAATGAGCAGGGTTAGCTGGATCCACTCGTTGCTTTGGACTTTGTGGAGAGACAGACAGCTCAGTGGGAGTATGCGGCATAGATGTTCACCTCATGGTGATTAGGAGGCAGGGGGACAGGGACAGGAAGGGACAGAGCAAGGTGGAGCCCCCCCTTAGTACACACCGCCAGTTACCCAGCTAAATGTGCCCATCCTCTAAAGTAGGAAGCAATGAGGGCCTGTGCAGGCACTCGGTCCTAAGCCATCCCAGTGACCTTACTAATGCTCACCTCACGGGCTTGGGTGGTGGCGTCACGTTCACCCAGCCAGTGGCGCTATGGTACACACAAGTGCTTTTCTTCTACTTTCCATTGTTGGTTAGCAACAGGGAATTCATGTGCAAAACAGATTGAGTAATCAGTGTGATAGAAGAGAAATCAATTATATATACTTGTATATCTCCTAGCTTATGCATATTATGTGTAAGCTGGAAGAGGCATTTAACAGCCAGCCTGATCCAGCGTTTGCCCAATGAATGCTAGAATTAGCTGGAAAAGTCTGTAGCTCCGGTTCTTTCCTGCAGTTAGATGTTTCCTGTCCCACCTGCCAGTTCCCAAATAACCACTCTAAGGCTTAATATTACTTATAATTGTTTTGCCAATAACTTGGGCTTATTGTTGGCTCCCTCTTCTTAAATTATCCCATTTCTAATAATCTGTGTATCACTACATGGCTCTGGCTTCCTGGTAATGTTCTGGCATATCTCACTTCTACAGTAGCTACATGGCGTCTCCTCAACTCTACCTTCTTTATCTCTGTTTGGATTTCCTGCCTAGCTATATTCTGCCCTATCATAGAACAAAACAGCTTTATTCATCAACCAATAAAATCAACAGCTATTCCGAGCATACAGAAAGACATGACCACATCACTCACCCCACACACAGTGATGTTAATAGTATTTTTTTTTAGTATATAAAACTCAAAATATTTTTGGAAAATAAAAAGAATCAGGCATGTCAGTATTAGCTGGATTCGCATTTGATGTGTGTCTTTCTGATATATTAGCTCTCCCTAGCATGGAGGGACTTATTTTTTCTACATTCACCATCCTAACTATGCCCAACAGGAGTGCATGTAGGATGGCATACTCTGTCTTATCGTGGGCACGGTGGCAGCAGAAGCTTGCCAAAGGAATACCTTGGAATCCGGCAGGGCTGTCCCGGTGATCGCCCTGTGTCTCATCCACTTGGCTTTCAGCAGCCTTTCCCTCTCAGGAGGAGACACCCTCATCCTTTCTGTGAAACCCTGTTCCTTTCGCCAGTGCTGCTCCCTCTACCGTGCCTTGAGGGTACTTCTCCAGCTCCTCTTGGGAGTGGACCAAAAGGAACTCACTCCCTCTGTCTCCATTTCCAGCCTTGCTCACTACCTTTGCACGCGCAGCCTAATATAAAACTGTTGGTTAGAACCATCTAGACCTACCTTCTTGATAATATGTTCCATGAAAAGTAAGCATCACAATGTAACTGAGCATGAGTCACCAAGTGACTACTGGCCTTTTACCGTGTGGCATGACATAGGCATCTCTGCTGACCGTCATTTCTCAGCCTTTGATCAATGCTCATGAAGCCTTTCTTTTCGTCGAAGAATCCCGCAGCATCTTCAGGAAGCTTCAATGCATGGCTTACTCTGTTTTCTAGTCTCTCTGAAACACCATCATCCCAGAGGACTTTCTGGAACCACCACATTGCCCTAATATGGGGCAAATCAAAAAAGGACTTTAGCTCTTTCTGTCTTCAGGCTGTCCCAGCACCCTAAGTGGAAGCAGCATTTATTGGCAGAACCTAGAGCCATGAGTGTTTGTTTCCTCCATGCCCTGGGTCAGTGACGTTCACCTGCTACCACTTAGCAACGGTGTGATGTGCCGTGGTACGTAAGCTGACACTTACATCGCTCTCGTATATACCAGAATAACCTGGTATTCAATACATAGGGCCTCGGATTTTATGCCTCTAGTTCTACATAGAACTGAATTGCTGAGGCAGAGCGCCACCTTAGGATGTGCTACCCGCGTTATGTCGTCATATGCTAGTTCCTACCCGTTCACTGGTTATCACCCTGATTGCCACAAACTGCTGTGCCAGGAGGAGTTGGTATCAGCATTTGTGTTATAATGATACTTGTTGATCTAATTCCATTTACTCTCTTACTTGATAG